TGGCTAACCAATTGGCTCCCTGATTGGTCTTGGCTCAGACAGTTTTTCTTTTATGCTATAATTATTATTATTGTACTAATTGCAACCTGTTGTTTTATTCATATATTCCAAATTTATTCGCATTGTTTCATCCTGCTTCCCCCTCTCTTAATCCTCTACAATCGCGATACATTTATACATCTTTGAATCCTCCATTTAAAATAAAAAACGAGGATATGTAGAGTTGTAATTGCAGGAATGTTCCAATCTCGGATGGCAAACCTCAGATAAAGAATGTTTCCAAGCAAATACAACTCAGGTAAACAAAGTCACTAATCTAAAGGAGGATTAGAGAGAGGAAGTAAACATATGTTAGACTTTAACTAGAGATAATTAATTGTATGGATTACTGTGCTAAACAGTAACCAAAGTTAAGCAGTGATGGAGGATAACTAAAAATGTGTATAAATGCAAGACTAGACTCCAATAAAGATCATCATGATTCAGTTGTTCATGATCAAACAACTTGACTGCCTCGTCATTACAACACAGGTAGTCCTCGACTTACAAACCATTCTTTTAGTGAGTGTTCAAAGTTATGACAATTATAAGTTGTAATGAAAAAAGTGACTTCTGACCATTTCTCTCACTTGTAGCATTTCTGTGATAACATGATCAAAATTTGGATGCTTGGTAACTAGCATGTGTTTATGACAGTTGCCATGTCCCAGGGTCATTTTTGCCACCTTCTGACAAGCAGAGTCAATGGGGGAGCCAGATTCACTCAACAACCATGTTATGAACTTAACTGCAGTGATTTACTTAATAACTGTGGCAAGAAATGTAATAAAATGGGGCAAAACTCACTTGTCTTACTTATTAGCCACATAATTTTTAAGCTTAATTGTGGTCGTAAATTAAGGAGTACCTGTATTGAAAAAAGACTGCATGGGGTCCTTGTCATATGACCATGACAGAGCCTGCCCATTACAGTCATAAGTGATAACGGTTGCAGAATGGGCTGACTCCATTTTACAACCTTTTTTGCGGCAAATGTTAAGTGAACTTCATCATTAATGGTTCACTAAGGGCATAGTTTTGCCAATGGAAATGCTGGATTTTGGAAAAACTGACATAAAACACAATCACATGACTGTAGGACACTACATACAGCCATAAATAAGGCCATGTTGCCAAGCACCCAAAATTCAGCCACATGAACACAGGGACCAACCATTGGAACTTTGAATCTGGGTTGTAAGCAGGGGTGGGATTCTACCAGTTTGCACCTATTCACTAGAACCGGTTGTTAACATTCTAAGCAGTTCGGAGAACTGGTTGTTAGAAGAAATTACTGGCCTAATCCTGTAAGGAAGGTAGGAAAGAAACATTCTGGTGTTGCTTACAGAAACTGCCTTTCTGTTAACCTTTATTACATTCTTGGCAGGACCAGACTTCCTATCTCAGGAACTTCTCTGGAGTTTTCTTTCCCTCTTGCTGGTACTTTGCTTTTGTGGGTTGACCATTCAAAGTTACAATGGCACTGAAAAAAGTGACTTATGACCATTTTTCACACTTACAACTGTTGCAGCATCCCCACAGTCATGAGAGGCCAGGCAAGGAGATGTATGCCTCGATGTGAGTGATACAGAGTTGGCCACACCCAGCCAATCACATGACCACCAAGCCATGTCCAGCCAGTCACATTACCACCAAGCCACACCCACCATCTAAGCCACGCCCACAGAATCAGTTGTTAAAAATTTGAATCCCACCCCTGGTTGTAAGTAACCCTTGGAACATCTGTTGTCACTTTGGATGGCCACTAAACAACCAGTTGTAAGTTGAGGATACCTGTAATTATATATATATATAAAATCTTCTGGGTCTCTATTATGTCTCAGTGTGTTTTTGTGGATCAAGCCGGTGATTTTGCTTTTGTGGAAGCCGTTGGCTGTCAGTACCTTAGTCAGGGTGCATAGTTCAGTCTATATATATATATGGCATCTCATCTGCCATCATCAGGCTTCTGTATAGTGTTCATCTGTGAGTCAGGCTTTTATAGTGGTTTCAGATTTAAATTTGGGGCAGCCTATTGCTGTGCCAGAATGGTTTTTTCTTCACCCTGATTGGTTGGGAGTCTTGGTCTGTGTTTATTGGTCTTGGAGTTTGCTGTGTTCTGCTTGATTGGTGTTTCTAATATCTCCTGTCTGTTTTTTGGCTCTTTTTGTGTCTTGATTGGCTGGCAACATTGTGTTACTTTATTGGAGGCCTTTAGTGCAGCTTGGCTCCGGGTAAATGGACGGCTATCATTAGTTAGGAAGCTAGGTTTCATCTGGGTGCCTGGTTGGGGTGTGTTTGAGCTGGAGGTATCAGGGGGGATCTGTCTGTGCCCAGGTGTTTGCCTGGCTTGTGGTGTGGAGATTTTTTTGTTTGTGAGTGCAGGTTTCCAAATAATTGACAGTCTGGTGGAATCATCTCTTCTATTCATGCTTTCTGGTCTTTTTTAAAACTCTATGGCTTCTCTGATGATTCTGTGGCTGGGGTTTTCTATAGTGGCTAGGGTTTTGGTGCCATTGAAGTTGATGCTATGACCTATGGCTTCCATGTGTTGGACTAGTGAGGAAGTGTGTTCCAGCTTTTTGACTGCATTTTTGTGTTCATCCAGGTGGGTACTTATTCTTCTATTGGTCTGTCCAATGTATGTGTCCGGGCATGATGCACAGGGGACTTCATATATGCCTTGGTTTTCCAGGTCAATTTTATCTTTGGGGTTTCTAAGGATGGCTGCTATTTTCCTGTCTGTTTTGAAGGCAGTCTTGATGTGATGTCTGTGCAGTATCTTACTAATTTTGTCTGTAGTACCTCTTACGTAGGGCAGGACAGCTATTCCATAGGTCTGTTCATCTTCTGGGTCTCTATTATGTCTCAGTGTGTTTTTGCGGATCAAGCTGGTGATTTTGCTTTTGTGGAAGCCGTTGGCTGTCATTACTTTAGTCAGGGTGCATAGTTCAGTCTTAATGTGTGTCTTGACTGCCAGGCGTTTGGTTCTAGTAATTAGTGTTTTAGCCATGGAGTTTATCTGTGCTGGGTGGTGGTGGGATTGGGCGTTGAGGTAGTGGTTAGTGTGTGTTTTCTTCTGGTATACGTTGTGTCCTAGTGTGCCATCTGTTTTTTTTGTAGATTAGTACATCTAGGAATGGTAGTTGTTTGTTTGTTTCTGTTTCCATGGTGAACTTGATTTTGGGGTGTGTGCTGTTTAGGTGTGTTAGGAAATTGTTTAGGTTTTCTTTTCCATGGGGCCAAATCACAAATGTGTCATCGATGTATCTTAACCATAGTTTGGGTTTGTGGATGGCATTGGCCAGGGCTCTGGATTCGAATTTTTCCATGAACAGGTTTGCAATGACAGGTGACAGTGGTGATCCCATAGGGGCTCCTTCAATTTGTTTGTATCTTTGTCCTTTGTATATGAAATATGTGTTGGTTAAGCAGTGTTCTGTTAGTTCCATGAGGTGTTTAGCTGGTTGGTATTTATTTTTTGATGATTTCAAGGGTCTCTTTTATCGGGACTTGAGTGAATAGTGAAACCACATCAAAACTTACAAGCAGATCTTCTTGCTCCACATGTAGATCTTTGATCATTTCCAAGAAGTAGTATGAGTTTTGTACTTGTGAAGCTGCTGTTTCAGCATGGGGCTGTAGCTGTTTTGCTAAGTATTTGGCTAGGTTTTGTAGTGGTGCTCCTCTGGAGCTGACTATGGGTCTGAGAGGTATGCCTTCTTTGTGTATTTTTGGGAGGCCGTATAGTTTGGGGCATCTGGAAGATTTTTCTCTTGGGATGATTGTCTGTTGGATCTCTTTGCTCATGTGGCTGGTTATAATTTTCTTCTTGGTTAATTTTTCCAGGTATGTGGTTGGGTCTGTGTTTATGGGTTTGTATGTGGAGTCTTGGAGTAGGTCTGTCAATTTTGTTTCATAGTCTTTTCTGTCCATTACTACTGTGGCATTCCCTTTGTCTGCTGGGAGTATGATTATGCTGTTATCTCTTTTCAGGGTTTGTAGTGCTTTAATTTCTTCTTTCTGCAAGTTGCTTTTGGGTGGTTTGCTCATGCAGAGGATGTTGGTAACTTGGTGTCTTATTTTATCAGCTTCATCTGTATTTAATTTGGTTAGGCTGGATTCTACTGCACATATGATGGATTCTATGGGGATTTTTTGGGGTGCTATAGCATAATTGAATCCTTTGGTTAGGACATCTGTTTCTGTTTTGGTGAGTTCTCTGTTGGAAACGTTGTATACTAATTGCTTCAGGTGTTGTTGTGAGTTGTTGGGGGTTTTCTTGTCCTGTTCTAATTTCTTTAATTTTTTCAAGAGTTTATCAGTTTTGTAAGTGCTTTCAGATTCAGCTCTCCAAGTTGTAAGTTGTTTAATCTTGTCCCAAAGTAGAGGGTGGATTTTGCTGCTCAATTCCAGGTGTAGTGCTAGCAAGTCTTTGTTTAACTGATCTATATTTGTTTTCTTAAGTTTTCGCGGGTACTTACATGTATGGCATTCAGCTTTGTTCGGGTATTTTCCCATGTCATTGTAGTTGTGCTTTTAAAGTTGTAGCAACGTTTAGGCAGAATCTCATCTGCCATCATCAGGCTTCTGTTCTCGCGGGTATTTGTATGTGGATCTTCGGTTATTCGGGTTTTCTCCCGAGGACACAAGCCTGAAGATGATGAATGAGACTTCATCGAAACGTTGCCTAGATACTTCCAATTTTACGTGGGAGAAAACCCGAATAACCAAAGATCTATCTATCTATATATAAAATGTGCGTGTGTGTGTGCATGCATTCCAGCATTACTCTGGAATGCCTCAAGCAATTTCAACCATCTTGGTGCACAGATGACTTACCCTCTGGAAACAAATACTGTGGGGGTAAGACATCCCTAACACTTCTTAGAGGTATGTGTGTTTTAACATGGCTACTACTGAACAGCACAGTGGACTTGCCATCATAATGGCTTCACAATACTCCACAAGGGGATTCCCTCTCAGCCCTCCAAGGAAATGTCAGGTGATTGGTCAAATGCAATAAAAAAATTGAAACACCAGCATAGACAAGAACTTCTGAGGAGAGGAATAGAAGCCTAGCAATGCTGCACGATGGACAGTACAACAGTGTGAGTCTCAACTACAGGATTTTCCTGTCTAATACAGGATTGAGATAAATAAATACTCGGGCAATGCCAAATAAAAGCATATAGGAAGGAGCCATTGTTACAGACTAGGAGTAGATTTCAGTGTCAACACTTTCCTTCAGCTTTGGTTAACAATGGATGGGGAGAGTGATGATTGTAAGAGCCTGTGCCTCAATGCTAAGAAACAAAGTCAAAACCATTCTGATGACCTCATTTCTGGAGCCCCCACTATGATGCGGTCCTTATAATTGGCATCTATAATTACACATTGGCAGGAAAATAAAAATAAGCCGTTCTTGCATGTACTCATCTCAGGAGTCCTCCCAAAGTTTTATGATATATATGGCTGAAAACCTGTATTTTTGACCACTGATGCATATAAACAAGTTTCAGAGGTTTGCCTAGGATCGGTTGCCTGTTGGGTTTTCTGTGGCTGGTGATTCAGAATAGCATAGGAGACTTCATCCGGATGTTCTTCAACATCAGAAGACTAGAAAGAAGAAGAAAGGCTCAGAACACATACTTTCCTTCTCTATTGCAATACGACCACATGAGATGATGTAATGGTGGGTGGGACTGAGCTTGCAAGGGAAAGAGATGCTGCTTAGGGAACGAGCAGATAAAAGGAGGGGGAGCCTGCAGCTAAACAATAGGCCAAGAAAGAAGCTTAGCAAGGATCCATCCTAACTTATCAGGTGGTAAAAAGAGGCAGTGGGGGCTTTGTACTTTAAGATTTATAAGGTTGATGTCAGCCTCCCAAGTACTAAGCTCCATCTGAAAGCACAAATCTCCCGGCGTCTCTTTTTACCACCTGAGGAGGAGTTAGGGCAGATCCTTTCTTTTCTTGTTGTTCAATTGTAGGCCGCTCCCACTTTTACCTGATCATTCTCTGGACAAAATCTCTTCCCCTTTTCTCCCAAGGCCATTCCCACATACCACTTATATGGGAGTCTCTCAAAATAAAAGCATTCAACTCTGAAGATTTGCAAGATTTATGTCAGTCCTTTGAGGTGAACCGGATTAGAAAAGCAAAATTAGGAATACTATTACTATTTATATTATAAGGCTATAAGAACAGAATCGTGTAAATCTCATTTGATATGTCCCCGCCATCTTTGTGAAAACTAGGAAGGGTCAAATCTGAGTCATTTTCTCAAATTAGTCTTCCACCTTGGACTCAAATTTCATTTATCTAACCACTATTTCAGTTGTGGCCCTTTCTCCTGTTCCTAATTCCTACTTCCCATTACATGCAGTGATTCTTCAGCTACTCATAATCTACTCTCTTCTCTCTACTGGGGCAGAGAGTTGTAAATAGTAAAATCTTTGCCCTCTCTTAGTTCATCGTTCTGTTCTGGCTACTTGTTTGCTAAGATCTCAGATAACTTCCTTTGACTTTTGTTCCCAAGTATCCCCAAAAGTATCCCCACATGCTCTTTCATTCCCTCCAATAGAATGAAAGCATTAGGTTTTACTTGCCTCTATCATATATTTTTTGTAAATCTTTCAGTTTTAAAAACCCACTCCATTAATCAATTCTCAGGCAGTTCCTGTTCTCAAGATCTTCATGTGCTTCTACACAATTCTTCTATTTCCAACTTTGAAGAGACCTAGAGAGCTCCCATTTTTGCACAGAATGGAATTAAAACTTTTCGGCCTCAGAGAAATTGAACCAATTATCTGGTTGCTCATTGGCACAAGATTGAACTTACACAGGATCCCCACTTTTCCCAGTTAAATAGTTTATTTAACTAAGGATAGGAGATAAGGAGAATTAATTCAGCCGCCAACAAGCATGATCAAATCTAGTCTTCCTTCTGTTAATTGAGTGGATCATTTCTGAGATTAGAGAATTCATATGCACAAGTATGTCTACCCATTTGTTCTCATGATGTCATAAATGTAATGCCACCAGTTTTATTATGTGGGGTGATTTCTTAAATTCTAAATCTCATATGCACAACTATTTTCAAGCTTTTGGGTGTCATTCTTCAAGTCAGACTCCTTAAAGCAAGACAAAATGTAAATGGTTTTAATAGTTAATGTTGAATGTTATCATCTTTTTTTTTTCTTTTGACAACCTTGTAATCCCTTTTATCAGGCTGGAGTCAGAGTGACTGAATGGAGCTGAGCGATTACTGGCCGGCTGCCCTTCCTGACGCCTATGTGGAGTTCGCAGCAGATATTTTCTCTTTGAGCCCTGATAGAGGAACATCTGTCAATGCCTAGGATTGAACTCTCAACTTTCTGAGTGGGAGGCAAGTGTCTTTCCCTCTAGGTCACAGCGCTGCTCTTGTTGAATGTTATCAATTAATTATAGTTAACAGCTTTACACTGCAGTGGCACAGTAGTTAGAATGCAGTATTGCAGGTTACTTCTGCTGATCACTGGCTGCCAGCAGTTTGGGTCTCACCAGGCTCAAGGTTAACTCATGCTTCCATCCTTCAGAGGTTGGTAAAATGAGGATCCAGATTGGTGGGGGCCAATAGGCTGATTCTGTAAACCATTTAGAGAGGGCTGTAAAGCACTGTGAAGTGATATATAAGTCTAAGTGCTATTATTATTGCTCCCTACGCAGCAATGTTCTTGGATAAAATGAAAACTGACAATTCAGAGGTAACTTCGGAAGGACTTGCCTATTGTAACATCTATATCTGATGAAATAATCTAGACAAGGAAAGCACAGTTATGAAAAAAAGATACTTTACCAGATTTATTGCTGGATTACGTTCATTGGTTTGGGAACCTGTGGATCAAAGACAGCCATGAGATTCTGTGCCTAATTTGAATTTGGTTAAAATAATAGTAGCTGATCCTTTCCAAAATATTCTACTCTTAAAATTCCTAAATAAATAAGTCTCTATCAGTTGATTATACCAGAAAGGTTTTGTGCCATGGTGACCCCACTCTATCATTGTTAAAGTCACGAAGACTTAGGCCTTTGGCGTCATCACATTTGTCCTCTTTTATTTTTTACTGATTTTATTCTAATTTCTTTGTTGTGAAACATTCAGAGTTGCTGAGAGTTGGATGGCATACAATTTTAATTTAAAAAAATACTTATTGCTTAAAAACTTCCCCTGGTTTTTAAAATACAGCTGCCAAGATTTTCATATTATTCCAGTTTGAAAAGCTGGTATATCTGGAGGACATTTCATATGAAATTGTCAGTTAAACCAAATTCTATCCACTTCCACTTTAGGTCTTTTTAGGTCAAATTTGTGGTTTCTTTTCTGGTTAGATTTGCTTGTGCCACTTTGTTAACATTAGACATGAGATTATGTCTATGTTTATTCAAAAGGTTAAAATTTTATCTTGTACTGCTGATTTATGGCTCAGTTTTTTAAATTTTGCATTTCTCTTTTGTCAGATGGCTTCCTTTGCTATTCAGTATTTGGTGTAAGCCACTCTAAGCCATTTTAAAAACATGTTCATATGTTGAATTGTAATGGCTATAATGCATTTCTTCAATTTCTTTAAGCCAGCCTATGTTCAGTTTCTTTTTTTACTTAATTCAAGGAGTATATCAAAGAGATATACAAGCTTTTCCTCTTGGATTATAAAAACAATCTTCCTCGGCCAATTACCAAGGTTTTCAGACTCTATTACCTATTGCTAGCAAGCTTCAAGTTTCTTTTTAAAATCTCAAGGTCAAAAATGTGCTTTGCTTCTCTGTCTGATGCTATTACCTATAATCTTTAAGGGAGAAGCTTTTTTATGCTTTTTATGAAAATGAAGGCAATGCAGCCATTATGTAAGGTTTATAGACCACGGTTGGTTATTGTTCACCCGCTTCTCTGTAGCCATGTTTATTACAAGATCATCTCCACTTACTTCTTCTCCTTTTTCTGTACAGTACCACAGCCAGCAGCAACACGACAAGCAGGAAAACGCTCACCCCAATGCCTGCCCATAAGTATGGTTGAAGAAGACCTGTGAAGCCAAAAACACCTGCATTATACTGCTGTTCCTCTAGATGTCCTTCTCATTACTCAGGTAGGATTTCTTAAAAGTTCCTCCTCACCCTTCTAGAGATGACAGATTGAAACTGCACCTTTTGAACATAAAGTATGTGCCCTAAAATAGACGTATGATCTTTCCACACCTTCTGCTGACAGTGGGGAAGAAAAGCTACCATGATTCTTAAGTCAGTGGGTTTGCTTCTCTGAATGGAGCCCTTTCCCTACACTGCTTCTTGGACATAGCTCCTAGTTCTCCATCCATCCCATGCTTCTCTTTTTTAGACACATATACACACACACATAAATTCCCTACATCATCATTTTATAGTATGAGGTGGACCTAGTCTTAAGCAACCACATGAGTCAAAGCAGTTGAGTAGGTCTTTCCATATCCCTTCCGTCACTTAAATACTAAAAATATCTAAGGATGCTTTTCTGTTATGTCCTCTATCTGACTCCTTGCTTAATTCACAGACAAAAATACATCCTTTCTTTTATCTTCTTCTTTTTATTTAGCTTTCGGGGGGAGAGGGAGGATTTTCATCCAACTATCTCAAGTCCTACAGGAACTGTTTGCTTAGGGCAGAATTGTCTATCCTGGAGACCTTTAGATATACTAGATTCCTCTCCTCCCCTAATCTTCAGGAAGCACGTTTGGAAACTAATAATTTAGGCAATGTTGAATGAAGGAATGCTGCCTTTTTCAAGTTTTTGTGCCCATATTTCACTTCCTACCACCTTTACGATAGAGGGAGTTGAAACTGCAGGAACCTTGGGTGAGAGTGACCACGTCATACTAGAATTCAACATTACACAAACATAAGCAATAGAACATAATGACACCAGAGTCTTGGATTTTAAAAGAGCTGATTTTAATAAACTCAGAGAGAACTTGGGAAAGATTCCATGGATGAAAATCCTAAAGGGGAAAACAACTCAAGAACCTTGGGAAACTCTGAAAAGTATGATCATAGAATCCCAGAACAGCACAATATCACTGAGAAAGAGAAACAAAAAATCAAAGAAGAAATCAGCATGGCTGCACAAACGTCTCTCTGGCAAATTGAAAGAAAAAAGGACAAGTACAAAAAATGGAAAGAAGGACATACAACTAAGGCAGAATATCAGCACATAGCCAGAATCTGCAAAGACGAAGTCAGGATAGCAAAGGCTCAGAACAAACAAAGACTGGCAACAAAAGTCAAAGATAATAAAAAAAGTTTCTTCCAACATATAAATAACAAGAAAAAAATCAAGGAAACAGTCAGTCCACTAAAGAGAGAAGAGGGCAAGGAAGTAAGAGGCATTTTCTGTCTTCTGCACAGTAGTGGATTTTTAAGCTGTGCAGATGCAGATAGATAAACTCAACGAGATGTCCATAACAAAGTACATTTATTGGTTCATCAGGTATTCTCATAACTCATATTTGTGATGAAGTTCTTCTTTAATGACCAATCTTTTGCATATCTACCTCATAGTAAAAGATAGTTATCTCCTAACCCATCTCCTAGCGATAGAAAGCAGCTGCTATGAGTTAGGGAATTCAGGCAGAAGTGAGGAAAACTCCCCCAACCCATCAAGGATCAAATTAGTGACCAATTGGGATTACAAATGTGGCCACATGACATGAACTACATTTCCCAGGATACCTTTAACTACATTTACCATGATGCATTCCCTTAAGGGTACAGCTCATAATTCCTAAGTAACTATCCAATTCCCATAGACTGGCTGGGACAGCACAAGGCAATAGAGAGAAAGCAGAACTGCTTAACTCATTCTTTGCATTGGTCTTCACCCCCAAAAAACTATAGCTCAACCCACCAAAAACATAACTGTAAAAGACAGACCAGAAATAAAAGTTAAAATAAGCACAAAAAAAAATAGTAAGAGAACACCTGTCTGATCTTGATGAATACAAATCACCAGAGCCTGATGGATTACATTCCAGAGTTTTAAAAGAGCTGGCAGAGGTAATCTCAGAACCACTGCACCACATCTTTCAAAAATCCTGGAGCACTGGGGAACTACCAGAGGACTGTAAAAGAGCTGGTGTGATTCCCATCTTCAAAAAAGGGGAAAAAACCAGACCTGTTAGGAATGATAGTCACCTAACAGTTGGGTTGGAAATATATAAACCAAGATATTAATTTAATATTGTATCTTTAAGAGAATGCTGTAAGTGTGATTGGCTGAGGTTCCTCCAATGGCCATAAGATGGAGCCAGAAACCTGGTTTCTTTCTCCTTGCATTTCCTGTTTTACCGTATTGCCTGATCATCATTCTGCTCGGATTGCTGTGAGTCTTGCAATTGTTAGCAAACTCCGTTTACTGAACTTTGTTTATGATACTTGACTTTGTTTCTGGATTATCCCTGGACTGATACTTACTGCTTTAACCGTGTATGATTTGGACTGTTTGTTGGACTTTGTTTACCCGTTTACTGGAAGTAAAACCTACATTTTACTATTCAGTGTATCTGTATGCTGGTTGTGTGTTATTCATTACCACTCTTACTATGTTTCCCTGAGTGCACTCATTCTCCTAACAGGGAATACCTCAATAAGACCCAGGAAACTATAGACCAATCAGCCTAACATCAATACCTGGGAAGATACTGGAAAAGATAATAAAAAAAACCCAGATCTGCCAACATCTAGAAACAAGTAAAGTAATAACTAGCAGTCAGCATGGGTTTGTTAAAAACAGATCATGCTAAATCAATCTTATTTTATTCTTCAACATAGTGACCAAATTAGTAGACCAGTGAAATACTGTGGGCATAATATATTTAGATTTCAGCAAGGCATTCGACAAAGTAGACCACAACCTACTTCTTAGTAAGCTAGAAAAAAATGGAATAGATAGCACCACCACTAGATGGACTCGCAACTGGCTGGCAAATCGTACTCAATGAGTAGTCCTTAATGGGTCTAAGTCTACATGGAGGGAAGTAAGCAGTGCGGTGCCACAAGGTTCTGTCTTAGGCCCAGTACTCTTCAATATCTTTATTAACGACTTAGATGAGGGAATAGAAGGGGAACTTACCAAATTTGCAGATGATACTAAGCTGGCAGGAATAGCTAATATCCAAGAAGATAGGCTCAAGATCCAGATTGACTTTGACAGACTAGAACATTGGGCTGTATCTAACAAAATGAAATTCAGTGTAGAGAAAAGTAAAGCCCTACACTTAGGCAAGAAAAACCAAAAGTACACATATAGACTGGGTGAAACCAGGCTCAATAGCAGCAACTGTGAGAGAGATCTTGGAGTCTTAGTGGACAACCAGCTAAATATGAGCCAGCAATGTATAGCAGCAGCCAAAAAAGCTAATGTAATCCTAAACTGCATTAACAGAAGGATACAATTGAGATCAAGTGAGGTACTACCACTCTATAAAGCCTTAGCAAGACCACATCTAGAGTACTGCATCCAGTTTTGGTCACCACATTAAAAAAAAGATGTTGAGACTCTAGAAAAAGTATAGAGAAAAGCAACCAGGATGATTAGGGGACTGGAGGCTAAAACATACAATGAACGGTTGCAAGAACTGGGCTTGGCTAGTCTGGTGAAGAGAAGGACCAGGGGAGACATGATAACAGTCTTCCAATATTTGAGGGACTGCCACAGGGAGGAAGGAGTCAAGCTATTTTCTAAAGCACCTTGTTGAGGTAATTCCCCGTTAGGAGAATGAGCGCATACAGGGAGACGTATAGAGAGTAGTGTTTGAATAATACACACACAGCACACAGATACACTGTACAGAAAATGTAGGGTTTTACTTCCAGAAACGTTAAGCAAAGTTCAAAATAGGCAGTCCAAAGTCATTCACAGGTAAGATCAGTCAGTTTTTAGTCCAGGGATAATCCAAATATCAAAGTCCAGTGTCAAAAACAGTTCAATATCAGACTTATATCAAATCCAGTGATACCAGTCAATTAGAAGAAATGGAGGGACGGGCAATACTTTCCAACAGAATGAAAAACAGAGACTCACTCAGACACACTCTCTTCTGAGACTAAGATAGCCCAGGTTTCTGGCTCCATCTTATGGCCGTTTGAGAAACCACACTCAATGACAGTTTGTATTTTCTTAAAGATACAGTTTTAAAATGTCTATCCTGGTTTATATATTTCCATCCCAAATAGCTGTTAGGTTACTTACATTCCTAACAGACCTGTAGGCCAGACAAGGAATAATGGATGGAAACTGAATAAGGAGATATTTAACCTGAAAATAAGGAGAAACTTTCTAACAGAACAATGAACCAATGGAACAGCTTGCCCTCGGAAGTTGTGGGAGCATCATTACTTGAGATTTTCAAGAAGAGATTGGCTTGCCATTTGTCAGAAATGGTGTGGGGTCTCCTGCTTGGGCAGGGGGTTGGACTAGATGACCTATAAGGTCCCTTCCAACTCTGGTTCTCTGTTATCTGTTATTTCAACTGCCATGCTGTCTCTGATTTCGGTATCAGATCCAAAAAACAATGGCTACTATAGATTAACATGACTCTTCCATAATCTTTATCAAATGCAATAACCAAATTGTGTAAAATTAAAACAAATCCTTCTTGTTAGCTGTTCTGTATCTTACAGCTCTGCAAACCAAGTCACCATGTCCTAGTTTGACTTTATAGGCAAATGTAAATAGAATATGTCCTGATATTTCAGTGTTGAAGCAGTATTTTCACCTTGCTACACGCCACTTTTGTAACAACTGTGGTGACAGTAATGAAGCAAGGACCGAGACCTTCTGAGCTCCTAAGGGTTATTTTTGGCCCCTCTTTTCTTCCAGTTACTTGTGATTTCTCTCTGTGTCCACTTTAGCATTCTGAGAACAAATATGATCAGGCATTGGGGTTTTGCTATATAATGCTTGATCTGTGCCTCACAATATGCTAATCAGGCATTACAGAAGCTCCTTATGTACTCTAGCTCCTTATTTGCACAGTTTTAGCAGTCTCACAAATTAGACACAACCTAAAAAATAATCCTACGGATGACAGACAGTTTGTGGGATGCTGGTGAAGCAATGAGTCCACCCACCAGTGTTGGTCAGCTGTTTTTAGACAGAGCAAGTCAGCAAGAGAGTGACCTTGAGAGACAGGAGAAAAAGCTGGCATTTAAAAGATGTCTCAGCCCTCAGGAAAGGGGTGGAACATGGGGAAACATTTCAAAAGGGTTCCTCCCTAGTTTGCCAGAGAGAAAAGGGAAAGGGGGAGGGGTGGAGAAATACTCTACAGTCTTGCAAGATTCTGGCAATAATAAAGACAGAGCTAGCACTCTTCTTTGTGTTTCTTCACTAGGCTGCCTTGCAGGAATTACACCAATCTTGCACGCCTGAAAATATTCCTTAGAAATCCTATACAGTAGGTAGGCTAAAATCTAATAACCAGATAAAGTTCAGCTAATCTTCGACTTGCAATCATTTGTTTAGTAACTATTCGGAGTTGCGATAGGGCTGAAAAAAGGCCAATCCTCACACTCTCAATCATTTATTGCACTTATGATTGCCATATCACCCTCGTGGTCACATGATCACAATTGGGATGCTTAGTAACCAGCACGCATATATGACAGTTTCCAGGATCCTGTTCTCCTGTGGTCATGATTTGCAACCTTTTGTGGGGGGATGGCAAAAAAAAAAAAACAATTTAGAAGAATGGATTTGCATTTATGACTCTGGCATTAGTGACCATGGGTGATCGTTAATGATTGTCATAATGGCCATCAAAAACTGGTCTGACTTGACTTATGGCCACAAAGACTTAACGAAAGAAATTCCAGTCCCAATTGTGGTTGTAAGTTGAGGACTACCCATAAATCCAGGAAATGGAAACTCAGAGAGCATGAAGAAGTGCAGTACATGCAGGGAAGAAGGGGAAAACAAGACTTGTTCAGCCATGAAAAGAAAAGTACGAAGTAGCACTTCTCAACTCCCATGAAGGGATATCCCACAGGATGTCAAAACTTGTTCATTTCTTGTCTGGGGTGTCAAAAAAGGGAAGATGGTGGTTGCCTAATGCAATTGAAGCCCAGCCCCTTTGTGTGTGTGTGTGTGTGCGTGTGTGCGTCAGAATTGCGAATACACAGAAAGGAGTAGGGCTTGGGTAGCATTATTGCATCCTCCTCCTCTTTCCTGTTTTGACCAGTCCCTGCAAACAGCCTGATTCCAGCACAGAGCAAGTGCTTGGTGTCCAGTGGAATTTTTCAACTCTGGAATTCTGTGAATCAGAATCCAGTTCAAATCACAGCCATAAGAATTCTTTGCAAAGATGAAGAGAACGCTAACGTGAAGGGGACAATCCAAATTGGTAGGAGATGCATATGAAAAAATCATCATTATGAATGTTGAAAATCCATGCAATACATTTTAAGGAATAAAAACAAGGGTCAAATATACAGTAGAGACGAGTAAAGCAGAAATAGAATTCCATCCACCATTCACTCTGCAAAAAGATCTATAACCTCAGGTGTCTTTATCTGTTTTCAATCTCCATCCTATCTTCTGTAAGATCTCAATACAATGGAAAGTAACCACAAATAACCGCCTTGAGGCCAGCCAGACTCTATGTCCTATGATTTTAGCAATGCAGCCATACAAAGCAATATTCCTTAGCAACAGGTTGGATTTCATTAATATATTTGAACCTCCAAGTAAGTCCAAGAAACACAGTTAGAAAAAAAAAGGAGTGACTGAAAATCAATATTTTGTTTGAAGGTATGCCCACAGGAACAATCAAAAGTAAACTATAAGGGGGCCAAAGGGGAATTGAGGAGACGTTGTCCCCGTGTGCTCTTTGGGAAGTGGGCATCTTTTGACTAAAGAAACCATCATGGTGGCTACTTGGAGAAGAAGAAAGCTGTCAAGGCAGCCATCGTGGTGATGTCTCATTGACTGGAGGCAAGAAATTAGAAATAGGTTTGGTCTATATCCTCAAAATCCAACTCAGACCAGATCTGAGCAATTTTATCTCTGTTTTTCACAATCACATCAGCCTTGAAGATGTTCATCAGACCCTCCCTTCCACAAAGGGGTGGTTCAAGATCTTTGTTCTTAGTTCCAAGGATAATTAAGCAAAGTTAAACCTAACTATGCTTAGTATGTTGTAGTTGATAGGTTTATCATTGGTTCAGCAGGTAATGGCAATAGAGTCTGGAGAAAGACAGTCCTCATTCTTATTTATGAAGGGCAAAAATCAGACCATTTCTTAGCCCCTGGGAGTTTATGGGGGGGGTGAAATTCCCACCTGAAGCATTGTCCCCTCCAGGTATCGTCTTCATGGTGGGATTCATACTCTCAGGATCTAAAAATAATCAGGATTCAAGAAAGAAATTCATTTATTTCTTTGGATTTCGACAATATTTTTTGTGAAATATCTTAGCAAATAGCAAGGTTCTTTTTGCACATTTGCAACACATCTTCATTTATTGGCAAAGAAAAGAGAACTTTCCCAAAAACAATGGGGATGGAAGCCCAGCACCACTGGAGGGTCACTCCTCCAATGAACAAGAGCAGTGAATTAACCTAACCCACCACTTTCTTTCCAACAGGAGTGGCTCTTTTTGCTCTGGGCACATCACGGGAATCGACCACCAGCTGGTCACATGATCAACTTCAGAGGACAAGCAGAGCCCACTGCTAAAGGCCCTTGCAGGTCCTGTTGACCAAGTCTCTTCTCATCTCCTCTCTCTGCAGAAAGGAATACTCACATTTCTAATACTCCCTCCCCTTCCATGTTTCCCTGGGAGCATTTCCTGATCTTTGGCAAAACAATTTTAGCAGTTGCTGTCAAAGGATAACTTTAGAATATTATCATCCAAATCTTATGCTTAACCCCGACAATCACTGCAAGCACTCGCAATTGGAGCAATATCCTTCAGTGTTTATAATTGTTATAATCTGGTGATGAGACAACAGCAGAAGCACAGATGAGCCTCTGGTCAATATTGCAATAGGTGTCTATTCACCCTTCAGTGGTCCCAAGACAGATACTTGCCTATCAATGGTCACCTACTGGCCTAACGTTTATGACTTTCAATCTATATGATATCCATTACTAGAAGTTCTGCCCCAGTTCGAGATCTCCCAGAAATTCAGTCCATCTCAGATGGGGCAAATGGAGGAAAGGAAATATGCTGTTTTGGTGGCTTACCTCTCAAAGGCAACTCCAGCGGGTCACTTGGCACTGACCAGACAAAGGGGCTGCTTTCCCGGTGGTACTGGCAGGTATAACGTTCTGCCTTTTTCAACCTCAAGGAGCTGAGTGGAAAAACCACTTTCTTTTCCCCTGGCTCTGCAGACTTGTAACCTATCTGCTGGCTTGAGCTCATAAGAGCAAATGTTAGACGAGGTTCTCTCCCCTCACACTGTACATCGAAGTATGGATGATATGTATTTAAAATCTGGATGAAAGGCTTGGCCAGGCTGTGATCTAGAAGGGAGAAAGATTCAGTGAAACCTCAGAGATCCTTGTAGACAAATATCTCCTGCTTCATTCAGCCACAAATAACATCCCTCCCTTTTCAGTCTTTTGGCAATAAAAGGATCATCTTCTCCATTCTCAGTACATTTTTTTTCAAATATTTATAAGAAAGCCTATTTGTTTTTTCCACACTCTATTGTTTTAGCCAAGGCCCAAGCACCAAATTTCCCTTATCTTACATTCTGTGTCTTCAAAGTGATATACTAAACAATGTTAGCTGACAGAGAATGGTGTCTATAAAAGCAAAAAGGTATCAAAATGGAGTTATAGGTGCCACGATGTAAGTGCACAAATGGCTGCATTGTGTCATGAAGTCAACAGCATCTGATGCAAAGATTGCTGCATTTAATCAGTTACCGCATTTCTATTTTGCCAACTTCATGCACATGTAGACCCTCTTTTTCCCAACCGAGTGGGTGCCCAAGCAGAGTTATGGATTTGCCGTTTCAAGGACTGAGAAAGAGCCTAATCCATATCAGGGCAAGAAAATGAACCAATTTTAATCACTATGGACGCAGAAGGGAAAATGCATGGATATTTGAATTGAAGCAACTTGGCTTTCCATCCAGGCATTACAAACACCAATTCCCCCCCGGAACCAGTGTTCTCAGTGGTATACAGAGTGCTCCCTCTTCCTTCCCCTTCCCAATAACAACCCTGTGAGATATGTTGGCTGATAGAAACTTTTTTGGGGGTTTAATGGGAAAAGACTTGGAAATTTTTCTTGGAACTTTGATGTTGATGGCAGCAATATTACTTTATGTGTAGAAATGGAAGGACACTTTCACCCCCACAATGGATGAATGGCTTGCGAAAGCTAATGGAGTTAGCAGAGATGGTTAAATTGACTGCTTTGATAAAAGAAAAAAAAAACACTTTTGTTTCTACTTGGAAACTCCTTCTGGACTTTGTGCTCGAGGTGGGGAAAAAAATGAAAATTTGATTTTGAGGTTTACTGATTAGATAGGTTTGTTGTTATAGAAATGGCTAGTTTATACTGTTATGTAGAGGTAAAAAGTTGAGGTTTGATGTTGCTATCTTATTCTACTGCACCAAAAGGAGTCGGAAATTAAATTGCCTTTTCTTTCTTTCCCCCTACTTTCTACACTTTGCTCTTCCTTTTTCCCTCCCCCATTTTTCCTACTTTTTGCTTTTGTATTTTTGTATTTTATATTATAAATGAATAAAAAGTGAAAAAGTGGTGGTGGTGGGGGGGAGGGAGAGCAATTTGCTTAAAATTATCCCATGAGCTTCTCTGACAGGGAAAGGGAATATTTGGCTGATGCAATATTGTGAAACTCTTTGTAGTGCCAGTTGTGTGAAGATCAAACCATGACTGACTAGACATCACCTGTTAGGTTGAGATAGATTATATTACTTAAAGTTGAGCATTCCCATTCATCCAGGCAAAATCTGCAGCTGTAGATGCCTCCCTGTGAATTGCTAAGATGTGGGAAGAAAAATTCAGTCTGATTGAATAATTCAGCCTTCTTAGTTTCTACAGTTTCCCCATGATCACTTAAGCTTTTATATCGGGTGAGATAGAATGTTCCATGAACATCATCCTGGCTTCTGCAGGTGATAGTGACCTTTTCTCCCAAAGCAACCATCCTGTTGAAGTTGGTAGATATCAAAGGTGTGGAAAGAATTTGACCTGGACAAGAAAAGAAAAAAAAATCAGCAAAATAAAATCTGGAAGGCGGAGCATCTGTTTATCCTCAGAAATCGAACAACTAAAGGCAAAATCGAGACTCTGTTTGGAAGCGGTACTCTTCTTTATGAAGAGTGGCTAGTACTTTCTGGAAGAAATGATTTCCCTTAACTAGAGAATATACCTGCCATAATATCTATTTTGTTGCCATACATTACCATTTTTATGCCTTCAGATTTTTGATACAAATTGGGGGCTGCAGTGGCTCATGGGGTAAAACTTATGAGGGCGCTGATGTTGGCAGCTCAGCAGTTTGATTCCCATGAGCGAATAAACTGCAGTGGGACAAGAAAGGAGCCACCCTCCTCGGCTGCCTACTAGCATTCAGGGGTCCTGCGGGTAAAGATAACACCACCCGAAAAAATTCCTTTCATGCAGGCAGCCAGCCACTTCGGTGATCCCTGGCTGACACGTGCTATACACTAAATAAATAAATTTGATACCATTGATGATATACTACAGTAGTGTTCAGCAAATAGATTTATGTGTCTGAGCCTAGCAAGTAAACCAAGGAAGATCTTACTCCATATCACTAACCTCTAGTTTATTCAGTAGTTTATCTTTCACATTTTCTAGTTCTGTCTTGTGTATTTATTACTTACTTCTATTTATTACCAGCTCTATACCTGTGCTTCACTACAAAACTATGTGCTCAGGCTTAGTTTTTGGGGAGGAAAATAAAGGGGTGGAAATTGTGCCTCTGCCTATCTGCATCCATTGGTTTTCATCTGGTTAGCATCCTGTCAGTGTGTGAGAGAATTCAGGGCTGTTTGGAAACTTGCTATGTGACAGCAAGGAGCTGGGAATGGCTTAGGGCCATGATGGCGAACCTATGGCATACGAGTGGTTGCCCAGAAGAACCCCACTGCATATGCCTGCGCATGCTGCCGCCTGACAGTTGATTGTTGGGTATCTGGCACGCATGTGTAAGAGGCGAGGGTGCACAGGAGATGTGCGTGCATGCGAGAGATGCGCAGCGTGCATGTGAGAGATGCGCAGCATGCATGGGGTCTCATGTGCATGTGCAGATATGCACGACACATGCAGGGGATCGTGCGCGCATGCGCAGAGATGCACGGCATGCATGGGGGATCATGGGAGAGCAGCATGCATTGCCTTCTTGGTGCTGGCATGTGAGTGCACGAGAGCGTGTGTGCAATTTTTGGCATGGGAGCCAAAAAAGGTTAGCCACCACTGGCTTAGGTTAACTGTTCTGTACTAAAGCTGTTTGCTGCTTTGAAACTGAAACTGAAACTCCTCTGCTTGTGCTTTACACTTGGGACAGAGTTCTTTTCAGATGTGGAGGGGGAGTAGAACTCCTTAGCATCAGAGTGTGTTAATAATAATATACAAAATACAAATACTCTGATGGTCATTTCAAAAAATCCTTTCCTAGTGAAACCCAAGAGGAACATACATGCCAAATTTTAAGTTTGTAGGCTTTACGGTCTTCTGTCTGTTTTGTGGCTCTTTTTGTGTCTTGATTGGCTGGCAATATTGTGTTCCTTTATTGGAGGCCTTTAGTGCAGCTTGGCTCTGAGTAAATGGATGGCTATCATTTGTTAGAAAGCTAGATTTCATCTGGGTGCCTGGTTGGGGTGTGTTGAGCTGGAGGTATCAGGGGAGGATCTGTTTGTGCCCAGGTGTTTGCCTGGCTAGTGGTGTGGAGATTTTTTTGTTTGTGAGTGCAGGCTTCCAAATGATTGACAGTCTGGTGGAAACATCTCTTCTATTCATGCTTTCAGGTCTTTTTTAAATCTCTATGGCTTCTCTGATGATTCTGTGGCTGGGGTTTTCTATAGTGGCTAGGGTTTTGGTGCCATTGAAGTTGATGCTATGACCTGTGTTCATCCAGGCGGGTACTTATTCTTCTATTCTATAAACACAAAAATGCAGTAAAAAAGCTGGAACATACTTCCTCACTAGTCCAACACATGAAAGCCACAGGTCACATATCCCCCCGATACCTCTAGAATGTCTGGTGGCATAAGGTATTCTCCAACGAGTAGAGGAATGGAGAACTCTTTTTGTGAAATACTTTTGGACTTTCTCAACTGTGTTAATATCAGATATGTAATGGGGGTTCCAGACTGATGAGCTGTATTCGAGTATTGGTCTAGCAAATGTTTTGTATGCTTTGGTTAGTAGTGTGATATTACCAGAGAAAAAGCTATGTAGGATTAGGTTAACAACTCTTAATGCCTTTTTGGCTATGTAGTTACAGTGGGCTCTAGCATTTAGATCATTAGAGATGAGTACTCCAAGGTCCTTGACAGAGTTTGGATCATCAACAAGGTCTTGACTATTCAGCCTGTATTTTATTTTCTGATTTTGTTTTCTCTCTCTCTATAATAGAGACATTTCTAATAATGGTGAGTCAAACATTTCAAATCTGAAGTCTGCTTAGTTCAAAACAGACCGATCTGCCTTTAGAGTGTGCTATTTTGAACTTGAAATCAGGCACTTGGCTTTGAAATGTTTTGCACACTTGTCATTTACTCTCCTTGAAAAAAATATCTTGGAAAGTGAACAACCTCAGGACAGTTTTCTATATGAATATTTTCTTCATGCTTAGCCTCAGAATTGGGGTCCCCTGAACAAAGTTAAAAGGTGAGATAAATACCTGAAAGGATGAGGAACTTCATGCAAAACCCAGAAACAGAGCATGAAACATTTTAAATTTAGGAGATAAAGGAATAGGAAAAAATACTACTAAATCACCTTTATACCTAGATAATTCAATATTTCATTCTGTATATTTCTGTTCCTACAAACCTGCACAGTTTTCACACACTCAAACCAGTTTCCAACTGAGATTGAAAATTATAAGAATAATTAAAAAGCAATATTATTTCTTCACACACAGGTGGGATTACATAGTTATACTGGAATTTTCCCTCCATGTTTCCCTCTAGGACACAATTAAAGTGCTCTGTAGAGTCTGAAATTGGCAAAACTTCCCTTGGTTTGGAGTGCTAACATATGATCACAAATACTTATTCATTGAGCAAAGGAACTGTATGCAAAGCACATAAAAAGCAGATTAATGCAATAAGCCAACCCAATAAAGGTAGGAGATAAGGAAAAAGGAATTTAAATTAGGTTTACCACTATATGATTCACTATAACACTGTCTCTTTTTGTTCTTACAAACCACTATCTTTGCTTTCACTAAATCATTTTATAAGGATATTTGTTCTATAAATGTACCACTTTTCACTTATTCAGGATCTAATCAACTCCATCTCACCACCATTCATTCTGTTTCTTCCCTTCCTCTCAATGGAACATTTTTGCTTATCCCTTTTTTCTTTCTTTTGTGATTTCATCCTCATTCCTTATCAGTTTTATGGTAAAGCCTCAATGTGCTTCATACTGTGTGCAATGGGATCATTGTAACAGATAGAATTAGGACTTATTTGTTGTTGCCCTCTCCAACATAAAAAATGGGCTATTTTGACTTCTTTTGACATTCATTCTTCAGAACAAGCCATATACTTAGTTTCTCCCAGGACTTATACCTCAAAAATGTTCTCCATCCATTTTCCATCTTTAGGAAATTGTTGTGAATGAAAAAGATGGAGTAGAATTCTGAAGAACAAAATTACACTTTTTCAAAGAACAGTAGTTCAGTTTCAGATTACAAAGGAAAAGGAACAGAGCACAATAGAATGGAAAATATTTTATAGGTATTTTGAATTTTGGGGTGAGAAAGTTTAGGAGTCTAGTTCACTGTTAGGATCTTGTGAGCATATAGGGAAAACTGGTTAAGTTTAATCGTGTAAGTGAGCCGTTTTATCATTAAAATACCTAATGTTTCACAGAGGCAGCAGAGATGCTGGAAATAAGCATGGTTTCTTGTCAGCAAGTGAAAAAACATTGTTAGTGTTAAGGTGCCAGTTACTTTTTGCAATTATCTTAGTCCAGTGTTTCTTAAACTCTTTTCCCTCAGAGTCTCTTCCCACTTTCAAAAATGTATGAAGGACCCCAAAGAGCTTTTATTTGTATGGGTTTATTGATATGTCCACATGAAAAATTAAAATTGACACATTTGCTGACAATACCACTTCTCACAATTGTTTGATGGGAATGTTTGATGTATTATATTTCAACATAGGCAAATCATTTTCATTTCATGGACCCTTGAAGGGGTGTTGTGTGATCTCTCTAGGGTCCTAAGACCACATTTTAAGAAACACTGGCTTAATCAATTGCACTGGGCTGAATTTTGCCTGCCTCTAGTCAAGCTCATTGTCCCTTTGTTAACAATGAGCAATACCTATTATTTATTTATTTAGTATATGGCATATCATACATGCATTGGCAAAATATATTTTAATATTAGATTGGTGTTCAAATACTTGTGTCTAGATCATCTAACCATTGAAGTGCAACATCAATCATCGTAAAAAATAATAATAATCAGATACTGGACCAGTAAATGCCCTCAGCTTACTGCCGATCATGATGTGATCTATAGCAGGACTCCCCAACCTCCGAGCTGAGGAATCACTACCAGGCCTTGAACACGCACAAAACCATCCCCTCCCCCACCCCCCCACCCCCATTCCTGGCTGGTCCACAAAACCAAAAAGGTTGGGGAACTCCGACCTACAGTTTGATGTTGCAGCCCACAATCACATTGGTGGAAGGATACTCTGCCTCATTTATATAGAGGCCGTGTCAGGGGCAAATCCTATTCAGAATTGACCATTCCTGATGTGGTATTTCAAAGCCTGGCAGCTTTTTGTGTGGTCATTTATATCAGCAAGGAAAGGATTATATGGGAGTAGGAGTTGTTTAGAGGAGATCTGAGGGGATTATGTAAAGTGGGGAACTGAACTTGGTCTTGTCATGTTTCCAGGTTCAGGGAAACAAGTCCTGGAAATAAACTCTCTTTCCACTTCAGCTGCAACACTTTTTTTTCCAATATACACATAATTTTCTACTTGGTACAATTTTTTCATCACCACTTGCAGTACTTACCTTGTCAAATACAGCCTGCCTGGTCTTTGGACCATTAATTTTCAGATTAAATACTCTTCGCCTTTATGAGACATTATTTCGAACATTCACTGTAAACCATTCATATTGTTAGCTAACTGCAGGCCATCATTTGCAAACTCAACACAGAGAAAAAATACCACCACAACTTCTTTTGAATAGGTTCTCCATGAATTATGCTGACACAGAAGCAACCTGATGCATACACATCCCCCTAGTTCAGTTTGAGTATCTGATAATCTAATTAAGTAAACTGAGATCCTGAACTGTGACACTGGTGATAAATTATTGCCTATCCCATGGACAGCCAGAGTAACTAGCAGAGAGATGTCAAATGATATAAAACCAGACCCATCACTAGAAACTAAAGTCATAAGGCTACTGTCTGATTTACCTTGACCATGACATGCATGCAAATTCATTGGGGGAGGCAGTGAAAATAGAAATTGTTAGTAGAAGAAGAAGAAGGGGCAGCAAAGAGCACACTGGCTTGTCAAACCTGATACAAAGTTAAACATCCCATAATTAAAAAAGCTGTGCTTGACAGGGTAGCATGGAGAACATTTTTCTATAAAATTGCCAAGAGTTGGACATGACTTAACAGTCAAAAGAACAAGACTGAGATCTATGTATGGACACATGTTTAACTACCCTGTTTCTCCCAACAATACGGCCTCCCCCAATAAGAAGTCCCAGCATGTTTTATAGGCATGAAATGAAATAAGCCCTTCCCACAAATTAAGGCCTATATTAAAACATGCGAAATGGGGGGGAATGGTGGGGGGGCTTGCCATTAGGAAGTACTTTTGTTGCACACCCAGATATGGTGCTGCCTGCATTGACCCCGATGTGAAGTGCCCCACCAACGCCGAGGTCAACATCCAAGCCGTCGCCCCCCGCCTGAAGATGCAAGGGGTGGGGGGAGGAATTAAGTCACCCCCGAAAAGACAGCCTAGCCATTTGGGGGGGGACTCAAAAAAAAAAAAAAGACCTGGCCTTATTATATGAGAAACACGGTAAGTTAAAGTAGCTTGAGCTGATACAACATACTACAGTACAAAAGACAAAAGAAAAAGTAAAAGTAGCTGAACTTCATGTATAGTATATATTCAATCACCAACTTTAATGGGAACAATTAATAATTTTATACCAATTCAATCATTCAGTTATGACCTGCCCAGTGTTGTTCAACAGTGAAATGGGCAACATATAAATTTAATAAATAAATATATTTATAAGAAAGACTGGGAAAGATGTCCCCCCCCCCCCACAAGAATCTGAAGAGCAAGGGATTCCTCCCAAATTTTACTACAGAAGAACTTTTGAAATAAATACTTTGAAGACCCTTGTGGTCAACTCCTAGGGTTAAAATATTCATAAGTGAAAGTGCTTGTTGGAGTGCTTACATTATGCCTCTGTCTAAGCTCAAATCTTCAAAGTATAAACAATTATTTCAGATGGTCCATAAGCATCCAGAACCATAAGCATCAACCCCAGAACCTCCCAGCTTTTGGGGAAAAGGGTGCAAAAAACCCTTCCACTATATTGACTCACCTGTAGAGGTCCAACATTGCCTGGCCAACCACCATCCTGGAAAGAAGATCAGGCCATTAGAGCCACAGAAACCAAGAAATAGGAAGCAATAGTGAGTCTACCCCCATCCCCTATCAAACAGCATATACAATTCTCTTTCCCTTCTATGTCGGGTACTAACCAAAGAAGAAGATATTGAGGGATAGCTTCATCTTCAAAGTTCCTTCAGCCATACAGCCAGGATAGTCTTCTCAGCTCTTCTCAGGTGCGGAAAATGGTCCCCACTGAGGATTTGTACTGCCTAACGCATAACAGGGACTAGACTATGTAGATGAAAATGTCTAATCATGACCTGGTGAGATCTCTCTTTGGCAGTGTTCACAGCCATGTCATCTTTAAAACCACATCCCATTTTTCTATTGCAAAAAAAGCACAAAGGGGAACAAATGTGCTACATACACCCAGAGTTGTGAGGATTTTAAAAGATGAAACTGGTACGTCAATGGTGTTTTTTCTTCGTTATCAGCATCAAGAGCTTCACTTCTCTCAATGAAAAGAATTATGACTACTGTAATGGGAAGCATTTGGCTTAATGTTCCCCCCCCCACTTCTCTATTCTCTGTGAGACTGATTCCAAGGTGGTTGGGATGGGGTTAACAAGCATCCACTTTGGTAGATTATGTCCTGTTTTGTAAAGAAAAGGAAAATTACACCCTGAAAAATATGAAAGATTGCACAAAGCATGTGGAAGCTTCCAAGCTAGCTATTTTTATTGCTAAAAAATCCCCAATCATCAATCCCAGTAACAAATGCAGAAGTGACAAGCAACTGGTGTGACATCTCTAAAGAGTACAGTTCCCAGAAGCTGCAGCCTGATGGAATCAAGTGTGGCACATCCTGGGATGTCTTGTTCAGCAACATCCAAAGGGCCACCTACTCCCCAGCCCCTGTCATGACAGTTGGCACCCAGCTAACAGTTGCAGTCTTCCCCCCACCACCACCTCAGTTTTTAAATAAGCACAGCCTAAATGCAAAATAAAATGAGTGGCATGATGGCCTTGAGGTGGAGCTCTTGCCTCACAATCGGGAGGCTGTGAGTTTGATCCTACTGTAGCTGCAGACACTTCTCTCTTTGGGCACAAAGAGAAAATATCTGCTGCAAACTCTCCGCATAGGTGTCAGGTAGGATATCTGGCCAGTAAACGCTCAGCTCTATTCAGTCACCCTGACTTCATTCCAATGCAAGGGATTACAGGCTCATTAAAAGAAAAGAAAAAAAAATAGACTAAATACAAAACAACCCACCCCCACCCACCTCCCAAGAATTAAATATAAGCTTCTACAGGATGCTAAAGGAAGAGGAAGCCTGGAGCTTAACGTTATATTATGATGCTTGTTTGGAGTAGTTGAAAGATTGGATAACTTTAAAAAACTTAAGGTGGTTATATCTTAGCTCTAAGGGTGGTTGAATCTCAAGGTTCTGGTTTGAGATTTGGGTGGGATGTAAAGGTTAGCCCTAGTTTTAGGAATTATATTATTAAGCAATCAATTGGGAATATATGGTCGAAATATAAAAGAAGATTGGCTAATGAAATGCCACTTTGGTTATCACTCCATGAAGCTCTATATAGAAAAGAGATGCTATTGGAATATAAATGAGTGGCATATCAGGATTTATTGATATTTGGGGAAAAAAGGGACTTAAGATAAAAAGAGAGCAACTAGTGAGGATTTGTTTGTGATTGGTTTAATTATTATAGAATTTTTGAAAGATTTAAACTTAATTAAAAGTTTTGCATTTGTAGGAGCTAAATCTGAATTGAATACCAACTTATGTTCAGGAGATGACAACCACTTAATTGCTAAAATGTTGCTTAAGATGAATTTGGAAGATGAATATGTCCAAGATTGTATGGTAAAATGGGCAACATTTTTGGGTATAACATAATGCTAGATATATGGGAGAGCAATGGCTTAAAACGTACTTTGAATTATAGTTCAATTTTTTTTTTTTACAAAATAATGTATCATTTGTATTTAACTCCAGACAGCCTAGCAAAAATATGTAGCGGGATTTCCAAGAAATGTTGAAAATATAATCAAAATCCAGATACATTTTAACATGTGGTCACCTTGTAAATATGTTAAATCAAATTGGATAAACATAGTCATGATAATGCAGAAAATATTTAAGGTACAAACATTAATGAATGAAATGAAATATTAATGAAAATATTTTCTTTCTTTTAGGTATTATGGATAAACCAATCAAAAACAGTTTGGGGCACTATTTCTTTATGTGATGACTGTTGTGAGAAAAAAGATGCTGATTGTTGAACAGTGGATTTTTAAAATTGATCAAATAACAGAGATGGCAAAATTAACTGCCTTGATTAAAAACAAAGCTTTATAAGAGACCGGAAGCCATTTGTGGACTTTCTGAGTCTTAAATATAATAACAGATGGTTAACAGAGGGATTCAAAGATTTATTTAATGAAGTATATACATTAATTAAGGATGGGAAAGTTTATAACTATTTGTAAACCAGCGGGAGGAGAAACAACAAGGTTTTTTAATATATTTTTCAGCATCCAGCCTCGGTGGATTCTTTATGTTTAACATGAGATCTAGTTGACTTTTGGGGTGTTATTTTTTTCTTTCCCCTTTTTTCGTACACAATATTTTTTTCCATCATTATTGTCGGATGTTTGGGTTTTTTGTTTTGTATTTTATTCTTGTTGATAAACGAAATTATACGAAAAAATAAGTATAGCCTAAATTTAACTAAATCATTTTCTATACAGGTAGTCCTCGACTTATGACCACAAGTGAGCATTTGAAATTACAATGTCACTAAAAAAAAGTGATATACCACTGGTCTTACAACTATTGCACCATCCCCACTGATCAAAATTTTGGTGCTTGACAGTTCCAAGATTGTGGGTGTGTGTGGTGTCCAGACAGTTTAGAGTTAATGGGATTTGGGATAGTTAGTTAGGAATTGTGAGCTGTTCCCTTAAGAGAATGCAACATGGTAAATGTAGTTAAGGTATCCTGGGAAGCGTAGTACATGTCATGTGGCCACATCTGTAACCCTGATTGGTCACTGAATTGACCCTTGGTGGGTTGGGGGAGGTTTCTTCACTCTTGCCTGAACACACAGCCTTGTGGTAGCAGTTACCCCCTGTCTCTATGATATGGGATGAAAGAGATATCCATCTTTTTACCCATAAAGACAGATATGCAAAGGATTGGACATTAAGAAGAACCTCATCATAACTGTGAGTTGATGAGGATGCCTGATGAACCAATAAAAGAGATTTTGTATGGATGCTTTGTGGAGTTTATCTATCTGCCTTTGTACAGTATTTGTACAGTATTTGTACAGGACAGGCAGAATAGTAGTAAAAAGATGGTTTAAAAAATCTGGAATCCTGAAGCCCTGAGATCTGCAATATTGAAGCCAGGAGTAAATGTGCATGCTATTCCTTTGTACTTTGGTTCTCTCTCAAACCTCCCATCGTGGCTGCAAGAAGGGGCAAATTCACCCCATTTTTCTCTTCAGCGAAAGAAGTGCTGAGTCTCAAATTACAGCTCCTAACTCAGAAAGAACCAATTTGCAAAAAAGGGAGGAGCCAGTTATTACCCATGTACCACTGTCTTCCCTCGGTTACTACCTACAAACTCCTTTCAAATGCAGATGAAGAGTCAAAAGTAGTATCTTCTTGTGTTCTAAAAGAAAAGCTAAATCTGCTCTGCTCATTCAAACTAAAAAACTCAGCATTTCTTAAGCTCTATGTTCCAGCTCAGAGGCAATAAAAGAAGCCTCTCCAGCTATTTTTACAACCACTCTGCCCGTTTTATTGGGGGTCATAATTCATTAGTTGAAGGACCGTCTTCAAAGCAAAGGAGCACATTCCCCCCTCCCAAGACGCAAAGCTAACTCAAGCAGCTATATGAACAAAGGAGCAATTTCTTTTTTGATTAAAAGCCTAGAGTTTATCCATCTTATATCTATCCTATAAAATTTAAAAATATAATACCGCATGCAACCTTTGGAGTGTTGTATTCATTTGATGAATTTCTCTTCCAGCG